CCCCAAAACCCCAAAACCCCAAAACCCCAAAACCCCAAAACCCCAAAAATGCAGGGCTGAATTGAAACTACTATTATAATTATAAATATGGCTGAGAAAGTCCCAAAGGCTGTCCTCTACATTCTTATGCTTGGAATGCTTCTCGCTGGGCTTCTGAATACAACATTTATGAATCTACAGAATAATCAGGAGTATTTTGACGAGGATACCGGTGAATATGTAGAGTTCAAGCATCCTTTCTTTCAAACGTGGTGAATGTTCATAGGAGAGATAATATGTCTCCCAATCTTCCTGTTTTTGAAGTATAGGAATACTAAGCAATATGGGTCCGCAAAACTGACTCCTTCTGCAGTAAATGCTCAGCTGATGGGGCTGAGACTAGATGTCAACGTTTGCTGGTTTATTATCCCTTGTGTTTTTGATATTGTTGCATCTACACTTATGTTTGTCGGTCTCACTATGATCGCAGCAAGTGTCTACCAGATGCTGCGAGGGATGATTGTCTTTGTCGCAACTATTATGAGCATAATCTTTTTAGGCAAAAGATATTATAGGCATCATTGGACAGCATTGAGTATCGTTGTAATCGGAGTTGCTATTGTAGGAGCTAGTCCGATAATGTATCCCGATAAAGAAGATGAAGGAGCTTCTTCCTCAAACCCTGTTATTGGTTTGATTTTAGTCTTAGCTGGCCAAGTATTCTCCGGGTTTACCATGGTTTCTGAAGAAAAACTATTCAGAGTGTTTTATATCCATCCTCTTCAAATGGTAGGATGGGAAGGAGTATGGGGGCTGATATTTTACTCCATAATTTTGATTATTCTCCAGTTCATACCCTGCCCTTCCCATACTATTTGCACTTATGATACTATTGAGGATACTAGACAGGCTTTTTATGAGTTTTCCCTTGATCCTTTAACATGGATCCTTGGGATAGGATCGATATTGAGTATCTCCTTGTATAATTCCACAAATGTTGCTGTAACTAAATTTGCAAGCTGCGTCCAGAAAGCAACTATTAATACAAGCAAGCCTGCCTTAGTCTGGATATTCTGGCTGTTCTATCCCGGTAAAGGCAAAGAAAGATTCATTTGGCCACAAATTATTGGTTTCACAATGATTGTTTTTGGAACTTTAATGTACAATGAAATCTTCAAAATTCCGTTCTTTGGTTTAAATGAGTATACTGAAGACAAAATGACACCTCATAATGTTCTTCTTGAGGAAAAATCTGTAAACATGTCACCTGATGCAAGTCACAATCTCAAAAGAGGATCGCTTCATGTAAAAGATAATAAAAGAGAAGAATCTGATGATATAAGCCCTCTTAGAACCAGCAACACCTTCATCACTTCAGACAAGGAGAATAAGATAGATTTTGGTGAGGACACTTATTAGCTTAATTCTTATGCTAAAATCTGCTGATTTCTCATAAATCTGCTGTATTTTTCTTACAATGTTAACCAAAGTCTCAGTGCCTATTTTTCAACTTAAATTTTTTATTGGGGTTTTGGGGTTTTGGGGTTTTGGGGTTTTGGGG